AAAAAAAAAAAAAAAGCATGCAACCACTACTGACAACCCAGTCATTGCAAGATATACTGTTGACTGATGAATCACTTTCACCCAAGTTTCACCAGAAATAATGACACCCACATATATCTGCAAATGCTTTCCTTAAAATTAGGAAGGGAAAAGAAAATGTACACCTACTGTCAATCTCAATCAACTTAAAAAACATCTTGATTTTTTTTCAGTGTGTAAAGTGACAAAATATTACCAAAAAATTGCCATGACAAGAAACACTCCCTCACAGGCACTGAGCAACTTCATCATACACCTTGTGTTCTAATAGGGAAGTTTAATGTCAGTGGTGCCTGCAAATTGCAGAAAAATAATCATAAACATGGTATGTTTAGTTCCAGCATCACTGGATTTTGACAGTTTTAACCATCTAGGAAGCCAATCTATTGTGGATACATAGCAAAACTGTTCTGAGCTCCCAGCTGTGCATAATAGAAATGTTTTGTGCCATTAAACTGCTATAATTTGTGACAGAAAGGTACTCTACATATGACAAGGAATAAACAGCAAGATTCTGTATGGGGCAGGACAACTCAGTAAGGCATTTTGATTTTTACGATGTTAGACAATGTTTTTTATCTTATGAAACTGGTCTTCCTACTGAACAAGACATAACATTCATATTCACATCATTACACTGGAGAAGAGAAGGCTCTGGGGAGACCTCATTGTGGCCTTCCAGTACTTGAAGGGAGTGCATAAGCAGGGAGGGAAATGGCTTTTTATGAGGGTGGATAGTGGCAGGACAAGGGGGAATGGTTTTAAACTAAGACAGGGGAGATTTAGGTTAGATATTAGGAAGAAGTTTTTCACATGCTGGAACAGGTTGCCCAAGGAGGCTGTGGATGCCCCATCCCTGGAGGCATTCAAGGCCAGGCTGGATGTGGCTCTGAGCAGCCTGGTCTGGTGGCTGGTGATCCTGCACATAGCAGGGGGTTGAAACTAGGTGATCATTGTGGTCCTTTTCAACCCAGGACATTCTATCTATGATTCTATGATTCTATACTACATGCAAGGAGACATGCAGTGATATTTGCACAGTATAGGCCTTACTGTCTTTTGACTAAGCGTTTCTTAATGTTCTGCTTGCGTTAACATCCTTTGTTAATGCCTGTGAAGCCTTAAATTAAAATCCTTGGTATATTTTTAGATCTGTTCAGTCCACAAAATAACACACTTAAGAATATTTTATTGTTGCATTCTTCATAGAAGATTTACTGTATTTTTTGATGGTCATGATAATATTTTGCTTTCTGTGCTGTTCAAGCCTAATATAAACATGGAGTACTATTATTTACCAAAACTCATCCTGCCTGAGAGATGACACAGTCTGAAATACATTACAGTTATTATCATTATTTGTTAAATTCTGAGTTATTTAAAGAGAACATTTCTACCAAAAACACTGCAATGTAATTCTGTATAATAGTGACTTCCAAAATCCATAAACAGTTTTTTTTATTATTATTTATTTCCTTTTAGTTTCTGTTGGGGGGAGGGGAGGAGGAAGGTCTTTCATTATCCTTTTTTTTCCAGAAAAGTCATTTATGAAAAACACATTTACCAAACTTAATACTACTGTGACCTGACTGATGCAATTAAGGGTAAAAGATAAACATGTCAAGCCAAGCAGCAGTTCTGATCAAATTTATCTCATATAGTTGGCAATCCAGAAAAACCTTTAGTAATTCTCCAAATGCTACTGAAGCAACTTCTCAGTCATTATACATCTTCCTGTTTATTCCTGCATTATGCATTCAATAGCTAAAAGATAGCTATAGCCTTCAACAGGTTATGATTTAAAATGGAGAAAAGATTGTTAAAAACTATGGAAACATATTTTCAGTTTGTACATGTACTGCTCAGGGTTTGTTCTCAAATTACTTAAAAGCTTACCAGTGACGCAGGCTTTACAAATCTTTAACCAGCCTTTTTAATACCTTCTGATTTAATTGTACTTTTATGGATATAATGCATGTTTATGTTCTGCTATATATTGCTAAAAAATAAAATTTATTACTGGTATCATTAAACATCTATTTTTTCACTGATACAAACTTGAGTTTGATAAACTAATAAGGCAGGAGTAAGGAATCAATCAGTGCAGGAAACAACTTGTATCAAAGTGCTTTTACTTTTGGACTTTTAAAAAGGGAAATTGTAAAACAACAGGTAGACTTAATAGCAATGAACCAGGGTTTCAACATTAGGAATGACTGTCAGAAGAGAGGATGAAAGCTTCAGCCTAAATACTAAGCTAAAATTTGACTTTAAACTAGGTGACACAGTGTTTCTCCAATTTCCAGTTTTAATTACAGGTTAAATAGTTTTGTTGTACTGCTTCTTTTTTCACTGTCTTTGAAATCGAACTTTTAAAGATCAGCTCTTAATGATCTCTATAGCACCAACCTCTACAGAAGCTCTATCTTCAGCAGGAATGCTACTGGAGTACAGCTACTATTTATCATTAAAAGGGTAATGGTCTCACACTATAACTTACGATAGAGTCTAGCAAACTTA